GCAGGAATGGTGGCTGGATGCAAGTGTATTTGTGCCTCCATCTAGGGACTCCTTTTTTTGGATACTGCTTCTGGCATGCCGTTATTTTGGAATAGAATAGGAATGATTCAGTCCTGCATCATGTTTTAAGAACATGATATTCTGTTTCATATGCTGAAATTTAAGGTTTTCTCCTAAAGGCACTCATCTGTTCAGTGAGATGACTAATGCTGAACAATAATGCAGCCTGTAACAGGCCACACAAGAGAGAGACTGTATCCTGCCTCTGGATCACTGTAAAAGAATTGAACCACAGTTCAGAAATATTTAAAAAATAAGTTTGTTTCATATAAATATAGTTTTGCTGGTTACTAAGACTCCTAGGTCAGCTGCTGCTAGTGTGAAGGGATGCAAAAATGAAGGCAGAAGTGTTACTGGATTATACTGCATGGTTATCAGTGTTGCTTGCTTTCCTAAGTGCTGTTTTCCTTTTGAAACCCCTTTTTAGGAATGTTAGACTATTAAGATGGGTATGCTTTATTCAGTAAATTCAACTTTGTATTTGCAAAGATATGTGAAGATGAGCAGTTTTAACAAATAATGAAATTTTTTTTTTTTTCCCCCCCCAGTACAAAGAACTGGAATACACCACTGATCTTTGACCTGAAGGAAGGAACAGTTAGTTTGATTCTACAAGCGGAAAGGTAGCTAACTTCTTGTAATGCTCACTATTAGATGTGAATGTGCATTTCTTAAAACTTTGTTGTATAATATCAGCACATAATGAGATACTAGAAGTAGACAAAAAGTATACAGTATTGTTAAGTAGCATGTAAAGGCCTAGCTGGTCTGAGATGGTGGTGATGAATCTTTTTATACATTATGTATGTTTATATTCTTATTTATGGAAGAAAGTAGATCTTCTGACATTACACTAACATCTGTTTTTTTGATGTTTTATATGCTTTTTTGAGATGGAATATATTTTATATAAATGATCTTTGGTCTCCAGTTTTTATTAAAAACATGGCCAAGTATGCCAAATAAAAAGAAATAATTTCATTTTTCTTACATACTTGTATTTATATTTGCTATAAATGACTATTTTTTCTCAGTTTAAGAAAACTTTAATCTGTATTTCCTGAAAATTGTCAGAGAGATCTTTATGTTTGCTTTTGTATGAAGTCTTTCAAAGGACTAAGAATAGGAGCAGAAGTAAAAAAGCTTGAGTTTTGATTATAGTATTTATTCTTGTGGAAAAATATTGTCAGACAGCTATTTTAGCAAAGTGCAGCACAATGCTTATTGCATTTTTGAGTGCCCCAGATTAAACACTTATGTCCTAGTCTACACAGATACTGCAGTAGAGAACAGGTAAGCAAGTGGACAGGATTTTGAAGATCAGTTTCTAGATTTGGAGTTTTGTGCTACCGATTAAAAGTAAATTTTGAAAACATGGCACAGATTCTTTGGCAGTGGCGGTGATCCACAGAAATGAACCTAAGGTTTTGGTAAAACCAGTCTGCCTCAACAGATACATGTGCAAACAGACAGGTGTTCGTTTGGTAACATTTGCGATAGCTGAGGGTCTAACAGCTGGCTTTTTGTTCGTGGATATGCTTTGTGTCTATGAACTATAGATAATCTACTTACCAAACAGTCACTGTTATGTAGAACTATTTATGTTCTGTATAAAAGTTTGCAATGTGTTCCTGCAAATAAGTTACTTTTCACCGAAGCCCTGCACTGTAATAGGTGGTGATCAGTTCATTAAGTGTCTTCTATTTGCTTTACATTATAATCTAGTCATACTGAAGAAAATTATACCTGTAATACTGTTTCAAAGCTAGCTGTAAACATTAAAACTGTTTCTCACATACCTACACACAGCATTGTCTTGTGGGTGGTGTGTGGGAAGTACTGTCTGCAGCTGTATGCTTTGTCATCAGGAGTTATCAGATTTAAATCTTCTGATATGTATGACAGATAAAATCGTAGTGATTCCAGATAATAAATACTTCTCATGGAAAAAGATAACATTCACATTAAAACTAAAATCTTCCATACAGAGCTTTCAGAGTATCAACTTTGAAACATAAGGCTTAGAAATTATATAGTTTAACCAAGAACAATTGCGGGATATTAGACAATTACCTTCAGATTGTTGAAACTGTCATCATGCTTTTCTGTATTATTTAATGATTTACTTTTTTGTTGGGTTTTCTTTTGGTAGGCATTTTCTTCTTGTAGATGGTGGAGGACTTTATTTATATTCATATGAAGGAAGATTAATTTCCTCTCCAAAATTTCCAGGAATGAGGACAGACATTTTAAATGCCCAGACAGTATCTCTGAGTAATGATACTCTAGCAGTAAAAGACAAAGCTGATGAAAAGGGTAAGGTCTCCATTCTAATAGTTCCATGTCTACTAATCATTCATTATGAGGTTTTCAACATCTTTGCATTTAACTTTACTTAGCGTAGTCATGGTAAAAAAGAAAGCATGAAGCATAAACAATTTATCTATGATATAAATTAAAGTTAATATGTATTAGAAAAATGAATTAAAATGATGGGTCTTGCTTAACTTTGGTTAAAAAACTTATATATCTCTGAACTTCCAGTTGTGTGTAATGCATCAGAGAACTGCGAAATATTTGCAGTAAATACTTGAACAGTAGGTTTTCACTCTCTGACGTGATTTTCTAAAGAAGTACCTCAGCAACTTTTTCTGCTTGACTGCTGCTCTTAGAAGCTACCAGTATGTTAGCTCTTAGAAGCTACCAGTATGTTAGCCGTGATTAATGTTAGTTCTCAGGTATTCTTTGCTTTATTTTTGGGGGGTTAGTATCTTTACAGCATGTAAGTTTTATATGCAACTGACATGACCATGGTTACAAGGCTGTGATGTTCTGTCCCAGTGTTGTGCTCTTGGAGAATTTTATGCTCTTAAATTTTGTGTTTTGGCATCAAACCCACTATAACTCGAAAACACAACATGACCAAATGAGTTTCGGGTAAATTTTTGCATTAGTGAGTGGTACAGGACTATCTTTTTGGCAGTCGGCTTTTTTCCTTTGATCTGTCTCTTGATGCAAATGTATAAGTTTGCGTGTGCAACAATTTAAAGTGTCTGCTGGAGACAGACACTTCCATTGCTGGAAAACCCATGGCACTATGACTTTTGACTTCAGAACTGTGCCGTTTACAGGCCATACAAATATTACAATACAGGGCTGCAGTGCTATCTATAGCTGTATTTCTCCTGCGATACAGCCAGTAAGGGGATTACCAGTGGGAAGAACTGTGCACAGGAGGTGCTGTTATTGCAGAGTGAAACAGTGAAAACTTCCTCCCCATGGTTCCAGCTGACACTAACGCAATCCAGTATCTGTAACTCGATCTGTATCCTAGACTTAACGATTAGATTTTAAACAGTTTCAGAATTTTAGAATTCTTTGTCTTACAGCAAAGAACCACTATATTTATCTTCTTTTTGCCATGGGAAAAAAACCTTTCAGTGTGAAGTACAAAAGACGGTCCTGGCAGGGAGTAATCCCTTCAGTACTGATTGCATGGTAGCTTTCTCAACATATAACCTGCAACTTACATTACTTGGTGAATGAAGAAGACCGTTCTAATAATCCTTTAAAATAATCTCCCCCCAGGCAAATGAAAAATTAGGTGAGGTTTTTCTCACTTCCTCATTACAAAGCATTTTTGCTACTCTGTACAACTTATATGTGTTTGTTTTTTCTTGTACATCCTTATCTTTTGTGTGAGAACAAATACTTTCTTTCATTTCTAACAGTTGTTTTTCAGAGTAGTAAGCTAACTGTGATGTGTGTTTTATTTTTAAGGAGAATTACTTCAGAAAATATTATCTCCAAGCACCAAGACATTAAAGATATCTAAAATAGATGTGTAATAATGAAAATGGATTTTAATCAGCAAAAATATATTTCAGTGTAAATTATTCAGAGAAAAGCAGTAGTTTGCAAAAAAAAAAGATAACTGAAAAATCGTATCTTTCTGATATTTACTCTTTTACTCTGTGTGTGAATCTATGTATTAATTTTACACAAGTGTACGTATGTTTGTGTATTACCTAATATGTATAACAGAGACTCTATTTTATCGCCATATTGACACCTTGATGCAGTTAGAATAAAAGCAATAGAAGTATTTTAAATAAATTGAGGTTATATAGAAAATTAATCCATAAATATTGACTGCTGTCTATACTCATGCATATTTAAGATTTTGGTGGTAAACTCACTCTCTTGCCCCATTCCTCTGCCCGTCTTCCTGAATAGACTGAAGAGCATCTCCACCTCCCAACCATTCCCATTAGCATCCTGAAAAGCTTGTCAGCCAGTTCTGCATGCAGGATAACCTTCATCAAAACTGTAATTTACAGACGCTGGTTTTCTGGCTGTGTTTTCAAGATAAGTGCTCCAAATGATCCTGTTGATAGGAGCTTCCATCAGGGCAGTGAGTAGGGATCAGAGTTTTTTTCTTTTTTAGGTACAAACCCCACTAGTAGTGGTAAAAAGCCATATAATAAGCCAGCGCATGGGAAAACAGATTCTTGGCACAGGAAACGTGGCTTATCCAGGCCTGTTTATTCTTCTCCACTCACCCCAGCAGAAGCAGTTTTTTTCTTTGCCCTATTTTGAGGGCAGGTCTGTTTTTCATAATGCACTGCATTATACAAATATCTAAGATAGCTCAGTTTGATACAGGAAGCAGTTTACACATTGTAGCATGGAGCTCTCTACAAGCTAATGTACTCTGAAGTAGAGAGAGATGTGACTTGCTGTGCTTCAGTGTTGTTACTTGAATGTTCTTCCTCTTTCAGTAATCTAGAAAAAAGATTGGTACCTCTGCACTTACAGTCCTTCCTCAGTCTCTAATGAAGCTGGAAGAGGCAGGTGAGCCTATTCTCAAAAGGGAACTGCTGACCCTAGGAACAGTTACTCCGTGATAATAGAACGCGTGTGTTAAAAGACACACAGTAGCTGTTCTCTTTCTCTGGATGTTCAAAATGAGAGAATACCCTTTGTTTATATTTTTAATTTATACATATAAAAAAAGACAGGGTTTAGGTTCTAAATGGTTGTAAACTCATGTGGAGTTTTTCCAGATGGGGGGGGGAAACCACCCCAAAACTTATTTTCTGAACTACCTTAATAAGCATTGTAGATTAATGAGAAGTTAACTGATTTTACTTGTCAATTAGGTACAGTGGTTTTCTTTAAAACCCTCTTAATCTCACTTCCTATAGCTAGTATAGCAGCAGTTACATTGGCTTGTATAGCTAGATCAAAATAAATTTCATGCAGGGAGCCATGCATAAAAGTGAGAAAAATAGCACTTCTCAGGAACAACTAGTTTTCTTTTGTATGTTTAGCCTGCTGCCAAGAGCAACGCTTGTGCGAAACCCTTTCTTTTCCTCTGCTGCAAACTCAACCAATGCTTTCTGAACACCTGCTCTTACAGTTTGTTTTTTTTTCTTTTAAATTCTGCCTGTATAACCATTGACCTCAAACCAACATCCTGTGTCCTAGTGAAAGAAATGCACAGCAGGATTAACATGTTAACATCGCCATCCTTTGGAATGAACGTGTACGTTCATCCTATGTTGTATACTTACAGGTAATCTGTTGAAACCGCAGGTGGGCTGTGTTATTGAACATCTGAAATGTTTCTGTCACATCTGTGTTTTCCATGAACTAACACGGAACGGGTGCTTTAAGTTACAGCTGATGTCCCTTGCAATGTTACTGTTTTCTCTGCGTTTGAATACCTACATCTGTCTGAATTCGTGTATATAGTCACAGACTATATATAAAGTATGTATGAATAGTTTTTGAACACACATGGATGTGTGTGCATCACACACATGTATATAAAGAGAGAGACAGAAAGAAAGAGAAATTTTATTTTTAGGCAAGTTGCAAATTTGAGCCTTTGCTGGATATCCCAGAAATACAGATGATGTAGGTGGGGGTTTTGGGGGAGAGTTTTCTTGTTTTCTTTTTTTTTGGAGGGTGAGACAGGGAGAGAGCGGAACAGATGGACTTTTGGTAAAGATCACAAGAATTATATATAAAATTCAAGTATATCTGGATAAAGCAGATACTTTTTGAGGAAGCCAGTTCTTAATGTATTGTCATTAACTGTATCATCATGACAAGCAGAAACCCTGAACTGTCCTGGAAGAAAATATGCCTAGAGACCACTGTGTTAAGAATTCAAAATAGAGCAGATTATTAACAAAATAGAGCATGCTTCTGAAGAATGTTTTACCCAATAGTTCAAAGGACAGCGTTCTATATATCTGATATAATTCCTTTAGGAAAGTATATCAGTCAACAGTATCACTTCCTAAACTTTCATATTCATCAAAATTGTGGGTTAAGATTGAATAAATCTATCAGCCTTGGTAACATTAATTTATTCAGAATGCAACGTACAAACTTGCATCAGGTAGAACTCAATGTCATTTCTGTAAATAACCATTTGAGCTGTGATAGGAAGTAAAACATTAGTTTTCTCAATTCTGTATTAGTCCATAATATCATGTTTCAATGGCTATCAATGCTCTGAAAATAATGATATTTGAGAATTTTCACAGATCACTCCAATTGCACAATGAAACTATTCCTGAGCTCAGCAGACTATGACAGTTGTATTTTCCCAACTGTAAGATTCTTTTTTCACCAGAGTGTGGAAGTCACTGGTAAATCTAACACATAGTAATAAGTATCCACTTGCAGTAAGTTATACTCTGAAAATGAATGGAGCTGCTTGAAAAGTCTATGAAGAACTGTTGCTTTTAACTAATAAACAATATAATTTTTTTTTCAGTTATCTACATATTTGAAGCTTTATCTGGAAAGCCATTGGGTGATGGAAAGCCTCTAACCCATAAGGTAAGGTGAAGGATATAATGTCTCTTTTTTATTATACTTTGAAATTAAGAACCAATAATAGGTTTTCTCAATAATGGGTCTAATAACCTATTAAAGGTTTACAATCTTAATAGAAAGGACTTGACATCTCTAGCTGTCTCTTATAAAATAACAAAAATCTGATTCTTTAAGCAGTGTCAATGTACAAAGAGAGATACTGTCAGTTGTGTTCAGTTACTGGCATGTGTTTCCCATGCACACAAGAGTTTGAAACTCCAGGTAAATAGTTTTGTTATGCAGTAAAACTGCTTGACTGAGTTTCCTTTGTGTGTATGCCAAGGCAACATTTATTAGTGCTGACTTGTTAACACTGAAGAACATCAGTGAAAAGTTGTCTGTCTTCAGTCTGAGCTTTTACTGGTTTTACTTGAAAAATGATTGCCTGAACTGCATTTTACTTTTCTTCACTCTTCTGATATACAACAAAAGCGAAATCAGGCAGCTTCTTTGGAGAGAGGAGTAAACATCCATTTTTTAGGCAGCTTTTGCTTTGAGACTGCCACTTTTATTTCTGTAGTTTTGTAGTGAATTCCTAAACTGCTAACTTGTCTCTATTGCAGTTTTGTTTTAATCTGCATGAAATTCAATTTATATAATGCTTCACTCAACAGAGAAGACACACATTAAGTGTCTTCACAATCCAGTTTTTCAAGAGTTTTGTGCCTTGTTTTTAGTAAAGCATTAATTTGTTTGAATATCACATGCTTTCTGTGATACGAATCTCAAAAATAAAAGTCAGATACTTTCTTTTTCCTTTTCAGATGGAAATTGTGGAGATTGCTTTGGACCAGAAAGGACTTACAAGTGAGAGAAAAATAGCTTTTATTGATAAGAACAGAGATCTTTACATTACTTCGGTTAAACAGTTTGGAAAAGAACAGAAGATTGTCAAAATAGGTAAGAAAAATTTAAAATAACATATAACTACATGCTAGCAGGCAAATAGACTTTTTATCTAGTACAAGAGACAAAATTTTGCTTTTTAATTAATAGTGAAACTGGACTTGAAAAAACATCAGAAATAGTCTTCTGGCTTTCATAAGATAGCGGTAGAAACAATTTTAGTACATTTTATCTAAATTCTGATAATGTTTATATCAGTTACATGTAAAGCAGTTGTTAACATTTAAGCACTTGTTATTGCATTCTGGAGCAATCAGCTAAAAGAATATTGAATAAGGATGGATTCCTCAGAATTATTCAATACAGAATCTTTCAGACGTCTTTCTTGCAAATGCAAACTCTTGAGTTCATAATATTTTTAATTAAAAGTCTAAATGCTGTAGACAGATGTATGGTCCAGTAAGTACAAAGGTACAGTCTGACCATTGTGTTAATTTGAATCTCCGGTCTCAAAACTAAGTCCAAAAAACATTACTCTGAAAAGAACTTTCCTTTCAGAAAGAGACAACTGAGTTTGGCTGAAAGTTTGTAAGATGTTCCATTACAAACTAGGGGGTTAAAACCAGTCCTTATAAAAGGAACTAAGAATGACTAATAGTTACCCTTTTACTGCAGTTTGAGAAGTGTGCCTTTATTTTGAAGTTTCTTGTGGAAATGCATATTATTCTGTTATCTTTAAATTAAGGGACAATGGTTCAAACTTTGGCTTGGAATGACGCGTCTAACATTCTTTGTGGGATGCAAGATACCCGTTTTACAGTCTGGTACTACCCCAACACAGTCTATGTAGATAAAGATCTTTTGCCAAAAACTCTATATGAAAAAGATGCAAGGTAATATATCCTTTTTGATCAAAATAGTATTATGTATTTTAACTAGCTTATTCATTCCTTTAAAAATTGTGTAAATTTTGGCAGTTGAAGTAGAAGCCAGGGTTGCAACTTTTAAAATTCTTTTCATGTTACTACTTCTTGATTAGGAAATGAGGAAACAGTGTTTTATAAGGGGTATCATAAAGTTTGGACTTGAAATGACAATGCACAGTTTAAAAGTAGAATAGCATCTTGATGCAAAAGCAAAATTTTAATTATATCTTGTGAAATATTGCCTTAGTTGTTTGTAAAAAAAACAAATGGCAAAGAAGATCTGTTTAAAGTATCTGTTGGAAATTGAAAGTATGAAGATACTAGGTCACAGATGGTATTATTTCTAGCTCAGCATGTTTACTTTACGTGTTTCCTTCAGCCTGTATACTTTGTGACATACAAATCTTCATAAAGAATATCTGAGTTTGTTATTTCATTCTAAGAGTTAGGGGAGCCCAAGTATTTCTTACTGAAAAATGTATTTGAAAATTTTTGCACAAATACCTGGTTTACATTTGCCTTATAGCCAGTGAATGTGCATAACTATCATTTTATTTTTAGAGAACACTACAGAGTTGGATATAACTGTTGAATAACTAGGTGCTTATATTTTTATATGCTCTGAAAATGAAGTACAATCATGTTGTAATTTTGAAATTAAGATTTCTTTAAGTTCCTAACATTATTTTCAGTAAGAAAGAAATGAATATTAACTTACCTTTCTTTCTCTACACAGTGAATTTAGCAAAAATCCCCAGATTGTATGTTTTGTAGGAAATCAAATAACAATTAGAAGAGCAGATGGTTCACTTATTCATCTCAATATTTCACCTTATCCTGCAATTCTTCATGAATATGTTAGTAGTTCTAAATGGGAAGATGCTGTCAGACTGTGTCGCTTTGTCAAGGTAAATGCTAATTATCGGGAACGTTCAGATGTAACTTCACTGTAATATTTATGTTTTCAAGTATTGCTTTAATGATAATTGCGTATCAGATGTTACATCTTATTTCCATTCTTCTGCTTTGTTGCTGATTACTTTTGGGCTGGCCATGAAAAATTCTACATTTTTGCATAATTACATAATATACATAATTTCATCATTTTCATTATAAATAATAAAAATTCTTATTCATATTCACACCGAAGTCCAGATGGATTGAACACGGGTACTCACAGAAGTTAGTAATAAGGTTACGTTTTCAGGACTAGACCTTAATAAAACTGATTAAAAATGATCTGCGTCGCCACAGTTGCCTAGTATTTTTTCATATTTTATTTCACTTATTTTTGTGTGTGTTTGTTTCTTTTTTCCTTTGCTTTCTTTTGTATGTATTTAGGCAACAGCAACAGATGAGGTGAGTCTGGCAGTCTTTAAAACAGACAAACAAAAATCCCCCCCCAACCCCTGCTTCCTTTCCCCCATTTACTTGTAGAGAAGAGTTTAGCACTTTCATATGATTATCTTGACCTTAAATGTGTATTTCAAATATTTGCATTATTAAATCAGTACACATCCTCATAACTTGTATAACAATTTTTACCCCTTTAATAGTAGGCTTTTATTCCAGTATTTGGCAGTGGGAACTGGGATTTCAAATTTCAAACACAGTATTACGTTAACTTTTTTGAGTAATGTCAGTGCATCATCTTTAAAACATCTGTATCGGGTAGAAATATTCATGATATTGTTTCTTTCTGATTAAGAGGAAGGTTTTCTAATTCAAGGATTTTTTTAGTCAAACTTCTCATGCATCCTCTTCATTCTTATGGGTAGAGTCATCTAATGAGTTTAATCATACTTAAAAGGAAAAAAGTTCAAAACTTTCAGTGCTTTTTTATGAAATCCCAATATAGCTATCATGTTTTTTCACTCTCCATTTTTTTTATGAGCTTTTCCTCATTAGTCCATATCTGTCAACAAGTGAGGAAGGCCTTTCAAGAAAAACTGTAACAGAATCTTTATTTTCAGCGTGAAGAGTATTCACATCATCTGGTTTTAAACATCCAAGTTAGGTACCTAGGTCTCAGTCTTTGAAGACTTGTCCTTTCCATTGATTCGCAAAAGAAAGATTTTGTGTTTGATAGAAGGTAATCTAAACCAGCCTCAGCTAGACGGTGTGAATATCCTCTCTATTTGACAATTTGTGTTTGGGCTGAGCAATGACTTGGAATACCCTTACCTCAAGGTTAACAGCCAACCATCACAGCAGGTCTTGCCTTGAGTACTTTATCTTTCATGATTCGTAAACTCTTCATGGAAATACAGGGCTATTTTGTTGATTTTTGGCAGCGCAGGTAGACGGTTGAAAGTATTTCCAATCGGTAATAAGAAAATGGACCATCTTTCTGAGGAAAGAGAGAACAGCAAGACCTATTGGTGAAAAACTCCTAGAAACTTGATCTCTTGAATAATTTCAGGCTGAGCTTTCAGCATTTTGTCACCTAATTTTCTAAATAATAAGGAAGTGGGAAGAGAACATGACAAAGATTTTAAGAGCATTTTATTCTCTGAACAATGTTAATTCTCCCAAATTATGGGCTACCAGCTTTATCTTGCCCTGAATCATGGTAAAGAGTAGGAACATGTGGTCAGAGTAGGAACACATGTAGAAATGGTGATGGTGAGACCACAGTCTTGGGCTACAGTACTGTATTTCATTGGCTTCAGTGGGTCTTACTGGTTTAGTTTCATACAAAAGCAGTTGTGAGACAGGGTATGGGAATATGTTTAGAGCATACTCAGTGTAGCTGTTTATTCTGATTTAAGTCAATAGTAATCCTATGCTGCTTATGAAAACTTACTCACATTGCAAAGTGTTTATTTTCAAATTTGTTATTGAACATATTTAACAAAAATATTAAAACTCACTTAATTCTTAGAGTGCATGTGCATTAACAAGTGCTTTCAAAATTATATTTTTCCTGTCTGAACTAGAGTTTTCACATGTGGTAGCCTAAACTATATTAACTAATATGTTTTAGTAGTATATCTTTGTCATAAAGTTGTCAAACTTGAAAAGGGAAGATATCAAAATGTCAGGATCTTCCTAAATGTTTTTCTGAGTTAGTGGGGTTTCTTAAAGTTGAGTTAAAAAAAAAAAAAAGCAGAAGTCACGATAATAGAAAACAAGGGTGTAATATTATTATTACCACTAAGTTTTTCTAATTCTTAGTTCTAAACATAAAATGTACTGAAAATATCACAAAGGAGACAGAACTTTTGAAGCTCTTCTTTACTTTTCAGCAGGTTCATTGTTCTGCAGTCAAGTAATTTTTTTCTTTTCTCTTTCGTTTGTAGTACGTTGATGATAAATGTGTCAGCATCGTGGTTCCAGTACAGTTATTTGTGAAGCCAGGTTGAGATTAGCCAGGTTAAAATAATTGTTTTAACTACAACCAGTGCTGTGGTTTCCAGCGTAGTTCCAGAAGTAGTGACAGGGACACCGATGATGAGGTCGTAAAGTGATATTATGGCAAGAGTTCATTACTGGCTGAAGTGCTGAAAACTAGTGATTCATTCAGCCACACTGTCAGTCTCGGCTGATCACAACATCCATGTCTTTATAATGAAGGAGTTCTGAGAAATAATTACTGGCTTTCTAATAAGAGACTTAGACCACGGTGCCATAAATGGCATACTGAGAAATGTTATATTGTTATACATTATTTTCAGGACTTGTATACTTCCTTTGAGAAGTCATTTTTAGCATGATAATAAATATTTGAAGTTTTAGGAGTTGCATGGTTTTTTTAAATTTCAGGATCAAACTATGTGGGCATGTTTAGCTGCTATGGCGGTTGCCAACAAAGACATGGCTACAGCAGAAATTGCCTATGCATCAATTGGTGAGGTAAGAAAATTGAGTTAGTTATTTCCAGTTAAATTGTTGCAAAAGTAATTTTATTAATTACTTTCCCTTATTAAACTATTGTACATCTCGTTAACAGATTGACAAAGTTCAGTATATCAATTCCATCAAAGATCTTCCATCAAAAGAGTCAAGGATGGCCCATATACTGCTGTTCAGTGGAAACACCCAAGAAGCTGAAACCCTGCTTCTTCAAACAGGCCTTATTTATCAAGCTATTCAAGTCAACATTAATCTTTACAATTGGGATAGGTAATATTTCTTCACACACAATATGTTTATAAGCAGTCATACTGAGGTAACCTCGAAATTATTTAGATCAGTTGTTTCATTGCAGATACTTAGCTGACTAATTTCCTATCTGTAATTGCCCACAGCTATAAAAAGATGAAGTCAATTATATCCTGACAGTAACCAAAGAAGTAGCTTTTTTTTCTGTCATATTTAGAAGATACAAGTATTCTGCTATAAAAGTCCAAAACATGCTTGGAAGCATTTTTAAATAACATTGTGCTTTTTCATTACTGTTGACACAGAAAAGCCCTTAGCGATACCTCAAACTGTATGTGACCCTCAAAGAATTAAGGCTGTTTTGAAATGTCTTGTTGCTAAAAATAAATACGTGGCTATTCAGACTCCCAGCACTGCGTAGGTGGATGAAATATGAATTAGGCCTGACAAAACAAAGTAGGAATTTCTCCTTTAAACAAAAACCCATGTTTTCTAACAGAATCTTCTGAGGCCATTTACTACTAAATTCTCTGCTACTATATTCATATCACTGTGGGCAAAAAGTTGTTTTTCTCCCACATATCTATGTTTTTTATTATGTTGCCTAATATGTATCATCTAAAAACTGTGTATATCAAACCTAAGTACTCTGTATGCCATTGAGAAGAAAACAGGTGTGAGAGTAATCAGTTATACTAATCCAATGACTAATCTTTCTCACCTATAGAATATTCGTAAATCATAGAATCATTATGGTTGGAATGCTGTATAGCATACACCATAAAAGTGTATTATGACACTGTTCAGAAGTGATTCCTGATTGTAATAAAGTTATTAAAAATTATTACTTTTGCCCCTTTACATTGAGAGTGCTAAACTCTAACCATTCTGGTTTATTTCCTTGAAATAAAAAGAATTCTATTGTCAAACTCCAACGATGTGATGAGATTGTCAAGAGAAATAATTGTTGGATATTTTTCATAACATGCATCATAAAGTAGACAGTCTCCTTCACTGGCTGCTTTTAACCTCCTGTGACTGATACTAATGTAAAACTGCTTGGCACTATAGATTAGGAATCTTTGCCTGCAGCCCAAACGCTTTTCAGCATATCGTTTTGCAAAACCATGGTGATTGTAGTTGTGCCAGAGCATTTATATAGCCTGACAAGCCCATTTCTGTTTTATTCCAGGGCCCTAGAACTAGCAGTAAAGCACAAGACACATGTTGACACAGTCCTGGCTTATCGACAGAAGTTCCTAGAGGATTTTGGTAAAAAAGAAACGAACAAAAGATTTTTGCAATATGCAGAAGGTGTAAGTATTCCTCGGAATTATTTCTACAGCTTTAGATTAGCCTGCTCTTTGTAGCCAGTTTGGGAGGGTGGGGGCAGAATTTTCCTTCTTTGGTTTAAATGTGGACACAAATCTTCAGGTTTTACGTCTGAGTACAAGTTTACAGCTTGATATGTGGCTACTTGGCTAGTAATAGTTATCCATGTGTTTTATTTGAAGGCACAGATACAGAATGTATGTATTTAGTATCTGGCAAGGATTATACAAATGAAGGCATGGTTGTTTTCTGTAAACAGGGAGCTAGACCTTAGTGTGATTGAATGTGTACCTCTTAAATGTCTTCAACATTTTTATGTAATTTTATGGATATCAACAATAACAAACTTTGAAAGTATCCAGATACATATGAAGAGTGAACTACAAACCGTTCTGCCAAATATGATAAATAGCTAAATATACAATTTCATCAAACCTCTGGAAACCCTCTCCATCATCAGTAGGCCATTTCCATTTATTGGCATTTGACAGGTCTTAAGGACTGAGGATGGATCTTACAGTTCATAAGCTAGAAGTATCTTCGATTCCGCTGCAGTACTTCTGCATATTTCCTTTATGAGAGGCACCCACCCACATGTGCACCTTAGACAGCAATTTAACTGAGCGGCCCTTATGTCCTTCCTGCTCTTCCCCTCGCTGTTCCTAAGCATTCTAAGGGTGAAACTGTGAAAAGAGACCTGTACTTTCGCTGTGTCCGATCCTTTCGTCCACTGTAGCTGTGATGGATCAGAAAATGCATCCAAACTGTTAGCTCAGATCCTTTAATTGGACAGTGCCCATTACACTTTCAATAAAGCTCAATTTCTAATGTAAGTCATTAGCTTTTAGCACTTCTAAGGATATTTCATTTCCTAAACAAGAATAAAAGTCTGCATAATATCTAGCCCCGCAATGAACCATTCTGCAGTACTCTACCTTGAAAATATAGAAAAATGACAGAACAGATTCCAAGCTCTCTTATCATGCAGCGATTTTGACTGCTATGCTGGACGTATGTCTTCTGCATACTTTAAATCCATTCTTGAGCAACAATCATGTTAATCCCCTGATGCTTCTGAAAGAGACTCTTTAGAGAATACTGTCTTGGCTTTAAATCATCAAGAAAGCCGTAGTTTCTGGAAGGGTTCCTAAGCAATAACACCTTGTCAGTGACAAGGTGTGAGCAGAGCAATGCGAGTGGAGCCTGTTTCACCTTACACTCAGTCTTGAAACTTGCGTCTCAGACTGCAGAAGATTCCTGGAGTAAAGAAGTCCTTTTCCACATCCATGTTCTGGAGGTCTTGTCTGCTGGATCTGAAACTAGGAGGGAACATAATGAAGTAGATTTTAAGTTCTGGGCTACAGTGGTAACTAAATTCTTAATGCAGCCTGTCAGACTCATATAGCAAAGTTAGAAGGAAACATTGAGGGCATTGAAGAGAAAAGCAAGGTTTGGTGCTGCTGTTCCTTCTCAGGGGAAAAAAGGGGTCTCAGTTTCCCTCTCACCACATGAAGTTCCTTCAGGCTTAAGTAAGGAGTTTTTACCCCTTTTCTGTACTGCAGCTGTGAGCACTGATTTGCAATCAGATATGGAATCTAAACAATATGTTTAGAAGTTATATCTCACGTCTTTGTATATGTAAGGTATTATGAACCTAGTATGTGTACTGAGAATCCGTATCTTGGCAGTTACTAGGTGTCACTGGCAAGGGTTGTTGGCTTCACTGGCAAGTAGCTTTCCGGGCTAGATGGCAGAATTAGCCCTGTATGTGGTATGTTTAGCATCTGTGTGACATCTATTAAAGCAAACACATTCTTTCTTAGAGCTCCATAAAGATTTCAGTCACCAGATGCAAAGCACCTGGACCCAGTAGATGCATCCTGAATTGAGGTATTAACCTTTTCACATGAGAATGTGGGTATTGCAGTTACATCTTACCTTGTAGAGAATCTTCCTTGTTATTTCATGACTTAGTTAACAGAGTAGCAGCTACTCTGAAAATTCCCTGTGCTGTGGTTGAGATTTTTTTTTTCCCATTCCATCTTTGACAGTCTTAATTCTTCAGCAATGAAACCGAACTTCGCAATTCCATTTTTGCCCAGTTTTTGGACATGTTTTCATAGTCATCAAATGCACCGTGATCCATTCTTTCTTGTCAAGCATTTTTTGAAAGGCAGACAACTGTTGTACCCCACTGTACCATGGATATTGTACTATATTTATTGTCTGAAGATTCACTGAAATAGAATACAACCAGAAAATGAGATTCTCTGCAGCTGGAGAAACGCCAAGATAAAGCTAAAACATTTATTGATGTTGAAGACAAATTTCAAGCAGAAATCTGATTTCTGTTGTATCAGATAACTAGTGTAATATGCTATCAGTTTACTCGGTGGACTTTAGGTACAGTCAAAAGACGTCGCTGCATGTATTATTGATAAAGGGCTATATTCTCGGTAATAGGACACAGATGTCATTACATTTAAATTAGACGCAAGTCGATACGAGTTATTTTCGTGTTTTAATGTTTTTTTGCCAGACACAATGAGATGTATCAGTATTTGTTAAAATATATCAAACTTTTTTAATGTTAAAGATGGAAAGCTCAGTTTATTAGAAGTCAACTGTGCCTTCATACATTCCATTAGGATAAGTTGTCACTTACACATGAAGAACTATATAATGATTGATACGTCACTTTGTAACTTCAAATTGTCCTGTTAGTGAACAGCTATCTGTTTGACCTCTGTATATTGTTAGTTGACCTCTGCGTACTCGCTTTTCTGTTCTTGCAGCTTGAAGTTGATTGGAATAAAATCAAGGCCAAAATAGAGATGGAAATTGCTAAAGAAAGAGAACGAGCAGCAGCCAGTCCCGCAGTGAGAGCTAGTGTAACTGTACAGCAGTAACTGTCCTGTTGGTCACATTAAGAAATGCTTCTGGAATATTTTGTACTGGCATATTTTGACAAACATTAAAAAAACCGCAGCAAACATTTTGTTGGGAACAAGAGTGAGAATTGGTATAGTTCTTGTTAATTGTTGGATGACAGGCAGAATTATTTATTTACTACAGTCTCATTTTGAGCTGGGTTTATGTTATGATGCCCTAGCTGCAATGAGTAGCTACATTGTAGTCCATAATACATGTATGAGAAAAAAGGGAAATTAACTGCCTTTCCGTTAGTGGCTTTTAAATTTTCATTGCCATTAAAATTATTTAACCTTTGTTGCCTCTAATTAAGTACCGATTTCCCTGTTTAAGCACCTAGTTAAGTAGTTTGGTTATTTCTGCAACCTCAGGGACCTCTGAAAAGACTTGTTGAAATTGCCCTAAAACAAATTTAGCAAACGGTAAGTGTTGAAATTTTTAAAAGGACCTTGCACCTATAAAGTACAAAAGAATATTTCACTCACAGTTACGGTAATATGTATTTCTGCTGGTACATATGTACTAGCAAGTTCTTTAATAGATTATTTGAGATCACTTTAGCAACTCAGGTTTGTCACTGTAGCAAACTATTTAGCAATAGAGGGTATTTTCTGAGATAATGTCAATTCTTTAAAATACTGTGGAATGTGCTTTGAATGTTGTTTGAAGTAACAAACTGCATTCTTGGTTGGTTTTCTAGCATCTGACACACATAATTGACAGTGATACTGAGAGCTTCCTTAAGGGTAAAATATCATATTCATTTAAAATAAGGAAGAGCCTTCCATGTATTTTTTCTGCCCGAAGCACATGATTTGAAAATGTTGTTTTTACATTTGTGTTACTTCATCAAGATACATTTTTCTTTGTTTTACATATGAAAGTGGCTGCATATGTTAGATGTTCTTTGCAGAAGCCCTTCGCACTATAACTACGTAAGCAGGTTATCCATAATTGACATTGTATGATATGTATCTTTCAAATGTTACCATCAAAACGTTAAATATCTGTATATCTGGCAAATTTCTTCTGTTTTGTAAATCATTGTATGACACTTGTTTGCATAGTTCATAGATTTCTTAATAAAAACAAATAAAGGATTTTTTTTAAATGTATCCAATAGATGATGCATTAGGTGATCTCCATTGATCTACCTGACTGCTAAACGAAACAGTATTTTTGATGTAGCTCATTTGAAGCTCCGCAATATTCTGGTGTACTGACATGTGGCAAAGTAAACACCTTCACCTTCTATTGACTTGAAGAAAGCACTTACTAGTTCCAGAATTGAACCCAAAATATCACTAATGGCAAGTGTTTAATGCTAGATTTATGAAGCCTGGCTCAGATCTGTAATACAATATAAGCAATTTTTGATGACCAGTCTAGTGGTGGTACAAAGTTCAAGGTCTCAGCTCAATCTTGCTCTTTTATTCTTGGGCTAGTTGGAAGCAGCAAATTCACTCAGCTTCCTAAAAATGCCTGGTGCAGCAATTAACCATTGCGAAGACCAAGATGAAACAGTGGAGTGGATGCCGTGCTTGCAAAGGTACTGTCTTTGCCCTTCAGGTTGATGTCGATGTCATTCACAGAAAGTGGTACAGCAGTACTTCAAGCTGGCTGTCCATGTCGGTATTAATGAGAAGTGTTGTGTTTGTAGGTGATGGGAAAGGTTGTTTAGTTCCTAGGCCAAAGCACAATAAAGACCTTAAGGTATTTATCACTGATCGGATCTGCTTTTTCCACGCACATCCAGTCCTGAACTACATGCTGTGCTGAGCATGTTTGTGTTAAATAGAAAACAAAGCAAAACAAATATTTTGGAAAAGCACTGTTTATTCTTTATTTTCACCAGGTTCTAATATGCAGGTAACCTGGTACAATTCCAGTCTTGGGTATGAAATCTAAATTTCAGAATATTCGCAGAAGAAAACGTTCTTCTATGGCTAACCTGGGATTGTTGCAGGGTTTTTACATATCACAATTCCAAGAAAAGTGCCATCTGCCCAGTCCAAGATAATTTTGTGCTGGTTTGTCTGGGGGTTTTGAAATTCTGTGTTGCATTTGTCTGTACCTGCTTTCAGTCCTTTTCAGTAGTTCACTTAATGACTTCTATTAAGTACAAAGAAATACCAGAAGGATACAGATGTTTTGGGTATGTTTATAAAAAGCTGCAACAAACCTTGCGTATCTGCTTCAATGGGCCATTTCTGATTACAGTGTTGGTAGATAAGGGAAGAGCAGCTGCCGTCATCTACCTGGACTTGTACAAAGCATTTGACACTGTCCCACATGACAGCCTTGTCTCTAAATTGCAGAGACATGGATTTGATGCATGGACCACTTGGTGGATAAGGAATTGGCTGGATGGTCACACTCAAAGAGTTGCGGTCAACAACTCAATGTCCAAGTGGAGACCAGTGACGAGTGGCGTTCCTGTGGGGTTGGGATTGGGACTGGTGCTGTTTAACGTCTTTGTTGATGACACAGACAGTGGGATGGAGTGCACCCTCAGCAAGTTTGCCGTTGACACCCAGCTGTGTGGTGCGGTCAACATGCCGGAGAGAAGGGATGCCATCCAGAGAGACCTGGACAGGCTGGAGAGGTGAGCCTGTGAAACCTCATGGAGTTCAACACGGCCAAGGGCAAGGTCCTGCACATGGGTT